AACCCTAAACCCTAAACCCTAAACCCTAAACCCTAAACCCTAAACCCTAAACCCTAAACCCTAAACCCTAAACCCTAAACCCTAAACCCTAAACCCTAAACCCTAAACCCTAAACCCTAAACCCTAAACCCTAAACCCTAAACCCTAAACCCTAAACCCTAAACCCTAAACCCTAAACCCTAAACCCTAAACCCTAAACCCTAAACCCTAAACCCTAAACCCTAAACCCTAAACCCTAAACCCTAAACCCTAAACCCTAAACCCTAAACCCTAAACCCTAAACCCTAAACCCTAAACCCTAAACCCTAAACCCTAAACCCTAAACCCTAAACCCTAAAACCCTAAACCCTAAACCCTAAAACCCTAAACCCCTAAACCCTAAACCCTAAACCCTAAACCCTAAACCCTAAACCCTAAACCCTAAACCCTAAACCCTAAACCCTAAACCCTAAACCCTAAACCCTAAACCCTAAACCCTAAACCCTAAACCCTAAACCCTAAACCCTAAACCCTAAACCCTAAACCCTAAACCCTAAACCCTAAACCCTAAACCCTAAACCCTAAACCCTAAACCCTAAACCCTAAACCCTAAACCCTAAACCCTAAACCCTAAACCCTAAACCCTAAACCCTAAACCCTAAACCCTAAACCCTAAACCCTAAACCCTAAACCCTAAACCCTAAACCCTAAACCCTAAACCCTAAACCCTAAACCCTAAACCCTAAACCCTAAACCCTAAACCCTAAACCCTAAACCCTAAACCCTAAACCCTAAACCCTAAACCCTAAACCCTAAACCCTAAACCCTAAACCCTAAACCCTAAACCCTAAACCCTAAACCCTAAACCCTAAACCCTAAACCCTAAACCCTAAACCCTAAACCCTAAACCCTAAACCCTAAACCCTAAACCCTAAACCCTAAACCCTAAACCCTAAACCCTAAACCCTAAACCCTAAACCCTAAACCCTAAACCCTAAACCCTAAACCCTAAACCCTAAACCCTAAACCCTAAACCCTAAACCCTAAACCCTAAACCCTAAACCCTAAACCCTAAACCCTAAACCCTAAACCCTAAACCCTAAACCCTAAACCCTAAACCCTAAACCCTAAACCCTAAACCCTAAACCCTAAACCCTAAACCCTAAACCCTAAACCCTAAACCCTAAACCCTAAACCCTAAACCCTAAACCCTAAACCCTAAACCCTAAACCCTAAACCCTAAACCCTAAACCCTAAACCCTAAACCCTAAACCCTAAACCCTAAACCCTAAACCCTAAACCCTAACCTAAACCCTAAACCCTAACCCTAAACCCTAAACCCTAAACCCTAAACCCTAAACCCTAAACCCTAAACCCTAAACCCTAAACCCTAAACCCTAAACCCTAAACCCTAAACCCTAACCCTAAACCCTAAACCCTAAACCCTAAACCCTAAACCCTAAACCCTAAACCCTAAACCCTAAACCCTAAACCCTAAACCCTAAACCCTAAACCCTAAACCCTAAACCCTAAACCCTAACCCTAAACCCTAAACCCTAAACCCTAAACCCTAAACCCTAAACCCTAAACCCTAAACCCTAAACCCTAAACCCTAAACCCTAAACCCTAAACCCTAAACCCTAAACCCTAAACCCTAAACCCTAAACCCTAAACCCTAAACCCTAAACCCTAAACCCGCAACCCGCGACGGCCCACCGAAATTCGACGGACGAGCGCAGGGTCGGGGTAACGCGCAGTGGCGAGACGGCGATCACAGCTTATATGCACCAACGGGTGCCGGGGGAGATGACGGTGGCAACACAGATCTGACGAATAACCACTCAGAAATTAACTTCCTGTGGGAGCTGTCGGAAGGCGCATACAGAACCCGTGAATTGCGCGTGTCACGGTAAACGGGCAGAGACGACTGGTGTGGCTGGTGTTATTGCTGAAGGCGCCTTTCAGCTTTCATTGCTGTAAACCTCCCTTCGCGTGATTCAGAATCCCTCAACCATTTAGCTGATTTCCTATCGAATGTTGGTGATCCTCGGCGGAGACCTGATTGACTGCAAAAGGTATTCTCTTTGTTGCGGACACCCAACCAAAACCACCAACCCTACCAAGCCAAGCCCCCACCCCATTCGCTCCTCCAGTACTTGAGCAACGTGTATTCAAAATAATCATCTTAAGGGAAGTGAAGTGGGTAGACGGCATGGCCCGTGAGGACTGAAGGTGTCATTTTTAGCATTTCTATGTCCAGAGCGTGACACGGGAATTGGAGGCGGGAAGCAGAAAAGCGTGAGTACGTGGCTCGCGCGCGAACGAGTCCACGGGCTGGCCGCGGAGAGGCGGAGTGGCGAGAGAGGCCAAGTCGTGGTTTTGAAAATTCGTGATTCTTATATGCATACGTCCGTGTGTGTGCGTGCACATGTGTGTGTGCGTGAGTGTGTGCGTGTGTGCGTGTGTGCGTGTGTGATTTATTCTTTGTCACTCCAAGGTACCTCCCCTTCGTAGCCATCGCGGCAACCTTTGAGAGCGCTGTAAATAGAGGGACAAATAAAATTATGAGGGGTTTGGTACGAGTGGGTGGGTGAATGAGTGGGTGGGCGGGTGGATGGGCGGTAATTGGGGGAAGCTGGGTCGGGAGTGAGTGACTGGGGGCTGGTGGGTAGTCAGGAGTGGTGTGTAGGTAGGCAGTGATCGGGGTGGTGGGTAGTCAAGATTGGGTGGGTGAGCGGGTGGTTGGGTGGGGGGTCATTGGGGGTGGTGAGTAGCTAGGGGCGGGTGGTTGAGCGGGCGTGTTGGTGGTGGTGTGTGGTGTACACCACCACCTAGTTACTTAATTCTCATTCAATGTTGAAGTATATGTTCAAGTGTTTTTCTCTTAGTTACTTAATTCCCCCTCTCCTCCGCCTCCTCCCTCTCTCACTCTCTTCCCATCCTTTCCCTCCCTGCAGTAGCAGCTGCACGAGCACCAGCAGCCGCAGCCACCAGAGGGAGAGGGGAAAGGAGAGTGACAATGTGAGTTGAGGGGGAAAGGGTGAGGGGAGTGGGCGCTGTGTGAGAGAAGTTGAAGAAGGTGCAGCTGAGGGTGCAGGTGGGGAAGGTGCAGCTGAGGGTGCAGGAGGGGATGGTGCAAGTGGGGATGGTGCAACTGAGGGTGCAGGTGGGGAAGGTGCAGCTGAGGGTGCAGGTGGGGATGGTGCAGGTGGGGATGGTGCAACTGAGGGTGCAGGTGGGGAAGGTGCAGCTGAGGGTGCAGGTGGGGAAGGTGCAGCTGAGGGTGCAGGTGGGGATGGTGCAGGTGGGGATGGTGCAACTGAGGGTGCAGGTGGGAAAGGTGCAACTGAGGGTGCAGGTGGGGAAGGTGCAGCTGAGGGTGCAGGTGGGGAAGGTGCAGCTGAGGGTGCAGGTGGGGAACGTGCAGCTGAGGGTGCAGGTGGGGAACGTGCAGTTGGGGCAGTGCGTTGCTACCCTCCAGGGGTGTCAGTCACGGACGGTCGGATCTATGTAGTTGTTGAAATCTCACACGAGGTGCACCGTGCAGGACGACTTCCTACTGTACCTGAGGCTGCTGTCACTCCGGTTCTCTACACAGTGGAGCCAGAGGGGACCACGATGATGCTGTCCCTGGTGGAGGGGTACCTAACTGAAAGAGAGGTGGACGTCATTCGGAGGAACAGAGAATGCATGAAAGCCTGGTGGGAAGGAGTTCGCAGGTCTCCCCATGCCAAACAGACCAAATTCATAGTTTCATTATTGGTTTTCCTGGATTTCTCGCTTGTCATCCCAAGTCATCATAGATTTAACAAATTACCGTACAAGATTACAAACTGTAACGAGGTCACAGAATTTGCTTGCTAATGTCAAACACCTGCATTCACATCAACGCACACACTGGCCTTCACCACCCTGCCACCCATCCAACCACCATGAAATCATTCTTCAACTCCTCCCCGGTCCACCCTACCTTCCAAGCTCTACTCCACCAGCCCCCTCCAGCTGATCCTCCACCCCCAGTTGCAAGATAATAGACATCGAGGCTTGACTCTCGAGTCCAGCAGCGCCATCATTGCACCCTCTCACCTGAACCGAGTCGCTTCCCATTGCCCCCCATTGTAGTTGTGGCTGAGTTGCTGTGTTGCAAGTGCAGTGTTCGTGATGCTGTATATGTATTGATAATTATTGATGTATAATGGTCGAGGGAACGTACCGTAATCCCCGTATATAGGACCCCCCCCCCCCCAGTTGTAGACCCCCGGGTCTATAATACGGACCCGGGTACTCTATTCGAGTACATCTGAGTTATACCCCCTACATGGCTCCTAACATTATAAGCCCCCCCCCCACATACTAGAGAAGTGCGGATTTTACAAAAAAAAATGCAATTGAAAATGGTAACGAATTTCGAATTTCGAATGAGTCAACACCCATTTTCAATGTGTTTGACTTTCGAAGGCTTCACTTGTTGCGCGTCCAGTCAGGATGAGCTGGCACGCGGGCAAAGTGACGTGCCAAATGTCTGTGCACAGTCAGGGAAACGCCCTCGCGCGATTCTGATTCAGGACGCTGTAAAAGTTCGATTCGATTGAACTTACGAGACTGAAATGTACAACATCGTGCGTTCTTATAAATGTCAATGTGAACAGACCCGGGTCTTCTAAAAAATATACCATTTAATTATACCCCCCAGCCTTTTTAGGGGTGATTATCATAATACCCTAGGGTCTTATATACGGGGGATTACGGTATGGTGTCACTTCTGGTGGTGGTGGGTTCCTACCAATACAACAGCACCCATACAGCTGGCTGGTATGGTTGTAAATACCAAACATCCCAAGCAGACCAATAAAACAGTTACATCTCACTTGCACTAAAGTACAGAAAAAAGAACAATATATCACAAGAATAGTGCAGAGTTTCTTTGCTACCGTATGTCAGAGATCCAGCCTTCACATCGTCTACACTAGCCTCCACCACCCTGCCAACCACCATACCCCTCCAAACTCCACCTACCTTCAAAGCTACATCCCCATCTCGCTCATTCCCAACCAACCACCATTGCCAACCAAATACCGTACACCTTGACTCTTGAGTCCAGCAGCGCCTTCACCTGGAAGCCTGCCGAGCAGCGGCCTGGGCCTCGTGGCAGGTGCGGCGGTCACGGATCTCCCTGTCGCGCTCCTGCACCTTGTTGTAGAGCACCGGGTCGTTCTGCTGCAGCGTGGCTGGGTCCTCCGCGTAGCACACGTAGAACGTGCCCACTGCACTGTCCACCACCGTCAGTGTCATGCCCGTCTGCCAGCACAAGCCACACCACACACACGCCATGCCACACCACAAACAGCACGCATGATGATGGCTCTTTTGGAGATTTTCGGGAACGCAATCGGAAGGGAACGAAGCGGGGTGAGGAGAATGGATCGAGGTACAAAAGAAAGCGGGCCGCGCACTACCCTGAGATGCGAGCAACGAGCAACGAGCAATGTGCAAGATGGCGAACGTAATGCCTCGAGTGATGCACCGCAGGCAACACAGCAGGGCCAGCGATCCCCTTTTCACAACCCACACACAACTCCCCTTGCACATGCACCTATGATCATGCCCCAGTACTTCCCCCCCACCAGCCACTTTTGCTCGGAACCCAGAACCACCCACCTGCCCAACCCATCACATGCACACACGAGCCATCCCACTCACCCATTCACCCCCTCCACCCCCCCTTCCCCACTCTCACCCCACCCTTCTTCCCATCCCTTATTTTTTTTTCCCAACTTGCAAGCCCCAAGCCACACCACCAGTGAGCACAACACAACACGAAATAGAACCCACAAGGACGAGGCCGATGATGAAGCTGACGATCGACACGGCCGCGAGCAGCTCGACAGCCTTGTTGAGCGACAGCAGCCCGCCCACGAGCGCGGCCACTACCCCCCCGATGAACATGCCCAGCCCCAGCACGCCCCCCGACAGGTCGTCGTTGATCAGCACGTCCACCCCGCGCGCCTTGAACAGCTCCCACGTGTCCTTGGACGCCCGGATGAACGTCTTGCCGTACATTGCTATCTGCATGGGGGAAGGCAGTGGTGGGGGCGTATGGGGGAGGGCAGGCAGAGAGCACGGGGAAGGGGGAGTGTGGGGTGGAATGGGGAGGAGAGACGGAGGATGGTGAGGCTTGTAAGGGAGTGAAGAGAAAACGAGAGGGATTGTGGGAAGGAAGGAGTGGTGGGGAGGCAAGTGGGGGAGGGATTCAAGCGGAAGTACTGGAGGGAAAAGGGCATCTAAAAATGCACGTTTGGAAACTGCACAACTGAGTGATTCGGCAGAAATGGGAAGAGGTGAATGTGCCCCATTGCGCGTGCACGCACCTGGATGTATGCGTATTTGTTGAAGAACTCGACGATGGCCTCAATGCACGCCAGGATGCACTGCGCACAGCACGCTATGAAGTTGCCCCCGTCGTCGTTGTTCGCTAGCGCCGCCACCTGGGAGAACAGGCGTGGGAGAACAGGCATGGGTGAACAGGCATGGGTGACCAGGCATGGGTGAACAGGCATGGGTGAGGGGAAAGGTCAGAGGGTACTCAGAAAGGCTGACAGATCTGAAAACATGTATCTCTATATATTTCAAACTGCTGTGAGTTCAGACTTCCTAATCCTGCCTTTTGATTTGAACATCTCCCTTCCCTTCTCCCATTCGTCTTCCACCCTCAACCACGTCCCACCCTCAACCACGTCCCACCCTCAACCACCCTCTCCCTCCATCTTCCCCCAACACCCAACGCCCTCCTCCCCTCCCCTCCCAATCCCCCCCACCCCCCACTCCCCACTCCCCCCAGCACGGACAATGAAGCGGAGGGTTTGGATGAGCGCAACGAGCAGCGAGCCGAAGCAGATGGAGCCAAAGCTCTTGGTGGCGGCGCGGTGCAGCGCGAGGCCGGTGGGGTTGGGCGGCATGTTGTGGCGCAGAAAGTAGTAGGTGGCCGTGGTGCCCGCCACTGTCGTGTGCACCACGTTGCGGAACACCTGCGCGGTCCCCGGGGAAGGGGAGGAGGGGAGGGTTGGGTGGGTGAGGTGGGGAAGGGTGGCGAGGGTCGTGAGGGGGAGAAGGGGAAGAGGGGAGCGAGGGGAGAGGTGGAGCGTCATAGAGGAGAGAAAGGAGACGAGATAATGAGTTCAGAAGAGGAACGGGGGTGAAGGGTGAGGGTACGAGGGTCGTGGAGGGTGGAAAAGGGGGAGGGAAATGTGGGAGGGTGGTGAGAAGGGGGAGAGGGGGAAGGGGAGAGATTGAAAACGTGAGAGTGAGATAGGGGGGGGAGCGGGAGGGTGGTACGGGTCGTCAGGGTGTAGAATGGGGAAGGTGCTGACGGGGAAGCGGGGCACATGGAGAGTAGCGAGACGAAATGGTGGACTCAGGAATGCGAATGGAAAGAGAGGCGGGTTGCTACAGATGTGAACAACAAGGTCCCCTGCTTTCAGAACGCATGTCAGGTAGCGCTGGTAGCAGCACGGAGCAGGGTGAAGAGCACAGCATGCGGCATGGCAAGGAGGAGAGGGGCGGGGGGCGGCGTACGTACCTCCATGGTCCAGTAGTTGCTGAGCACGAGGATGATGAGCACCACAAACGCGTTCGTCTGCCGCCCACCCACACAGCACAGCACAGCACAGCGCACGGGGTGGGGAGGGGACGGGAGAGCAGCAGCAGCGGCAGGTCAGTAGATGCAACATGGTGCGATGGTGACATGATGTGGAGCGGAAGAAGAGCAGATGACGGGATGGGGGCATACAGACAGTCATGCGTCTCACCAGCGCCATGGTTGGTCATGCCTCTCACCAGCGACATGCCTCTCACCAGCGACATGCCTCTCACCAGCGACATGGCGCCTGAGACCCCCACGACCCAGATGACGGTCCAGACGAGGCTGAGGAGGAGGAAGAGGTACGCCACCCAGATGACCGACGGGAACGCGTTCACCACGTGCACCGCGTGCTTCAGAATCGTCGCTGAAAACGGGATCCTGCGCGCAGCAAGGGGAGGAGGGGGGGAGGCACCATGGCGGTCACACATGGGTTAGGCCTGCCTGGGCAGCATGAGCAAACAGATGTGCTGCTGATTTGGAGGGGCAGCGAGAGCTGGCGAGTGTGTGTGAGTGCGCCAAGGAACATGCATGTGCGGGAGTTATGGAGTGACTGAGAGAGAGGAGCAGAAAGAGCAACGGGAGCAATGCAGTGCAAGCGCTGCGTGCACCCGTGTGTGCGTGGGTGTGTTGAGTGTGTGTGAGTGCATGGTTGCACGTGTGCGTGCGTGCATGTATGCGTGCACACCTGTGTCGCACGAGCCAGATGTAGAGCAGCTGCAGCAGCGAGGAGAGGAGCAGCACGACGCCCACCCATACGGGCGCCGTGTGGTACACAAACACCACGATCGCCACCGCCACCGGCGCCACAAACCCAAACCACAGCGATATGTGCACCATCATGCTGCAGCGCAGCGCACACAGCCCAGGGGGATGAGCGGCGGGGCGGGATACAGGACACGGGGAGGGGAGGAACGGGCAGGCGGGGAGGGGTGGGTTGGGGGTGAGGGGTGGGGGGGAGGGGGAGCAGGATGGGATGGGATGGTGAGGTGTGAGCGTGAGATGGATGGCTTAGAGGCATGGGGAGTGCCGGATCCCCGAATCTCTTGGACTCGCAATGTGCTGCAGATGTGTGAACATCACACTGATACTGACGCGGCGTGGTAAGGCAAGGCAAGGCATGGGAGTGATCCAAGTCAGGTGCATGGCGTGGTATTCAGCACGTCGTAGAGCAGGGCAGAGCAGGGCGCGGAGCAGGGCGCAGAGCAGGGCGCAGAGCAGGGCGCGGAGCAGGGCGCATGGCAGGGCAGCGTACCGCGGCATGAGTTTGATGAGCTGCAGCCACACGAGTGCGAAGATCAGCCCGGTGGCGGCAGCAGCGGCGAACTGCGGTGCATAGTCGGAGAAGGAGTAGACGGTCTGCCCCGGCGCTGGCTGCTGTGAGGAGGAGGAGGACACGCCCTTCACGCCCAGCACCACCGAGAACACCAGCACCGCCAGGAATTGCACTGCACCGCGGCGAGAGGGGCGATGGGGGGAGGGGGGGCGAAAGGGGGTAAGGGGAGGGGAGCAGAGGGAGGGCGGGTGGAGAGGGACGGGGAGAGCGGGGAAAGGGAGCGGTGAGAGATGGGGAAGGGAGGAAGGAGCGGGAGGCGGGAAGCGGGATCAGAATGAGGTGGAAGGCAGCGGTTTGCAGTGGCAGGTGCGGTGGGTGCGAGAAGGTCATGGCTTGAGAATTAAGCCCATGTTGTTCCGTATGGCGGTGGCGCTATGGCAGGTTGGCGCTATGGTGGGTGGCGGCACGTCACAAAGGCGGGTTGGCGGCGGGGGAAGGTGGTGATGCGGGCGCAATGGCGGTACGTACGGATGAAGAGAATGGCGGCCCACACGTCGTTCCACTTGGACGACGCGTACAGGAACTTGTCGCCCGCCACGCTCGCCTGCTCGCACCGTCGCACATGGTCGCACGCACGCACACACAGACGCGCGCGCGCACGCACGCACGCACGCACACACGCATGCACACACACGGACGCACACACGTACACGCACACGCACACACGGACGTATGCAAATAAGAATCATAATTTTCCAAAACCATGACTTTGCCTCTCGCGCTACCCCTTCCTGCCTCTCCCCTCTCCTCCGCCCCCCTCCTCCCTCCCGTCCCCGCAATCTCCGTGCCCATCCTCTGTCCGCACCTTGGGGGGAGCACCATCGGGGCCGGGAGGGGCGGGCGGGTACCCCATGGAGTACGCCCCCGCGGGCACTATGGCGGAAGGGGGGGGCGCCCCGTAACCAGGCGGGGGCGCGCCGTACCCGGGCGGCGGGGCGCCGTAGCCGGGAGGGGGAGCGCCATAGCCGGGCGGAGGCGGAGCGCCATACCCGGACGGAGGCGCGCCGTAGCCGGGCGCAGCGTAGGGGTGACCGCCGTATGGGGGAGGCGGGCCGTCGGGATTGCCGGAATCGTAGGGGTTGTGCTGCGGAGGGGGGGAGGCACAAGGAATGGCGCAGGGATAAAGAGCAAGGGGAACACTGATAAGAGATTCGGAGATGCGCAAACTGCGCTCGTGACATATTGCGATGCATGTTTCGCACGAGAAAATAGATAAAGACGAAAAAAAACAGGAATTGGAAAATAAAGTTGGAAATGTGGTAGAACTTTGCGGGGCATGCTGACCTCGGCCATGGCGGCGCGGCGTAGAGGGTTCTCCGCACGAAGAAAGCGGTGAGTGCACGGGACGAATAATCCAGCCGACACGCCTGTGAACCCGAGGGACGGCGGAATTCGTTTCGAAGCGGCAAACAATGTTGCACGTCACCGTTGGTGGTTTGAGACCTCACGTCACTGGCCGGTATAGCGAGAAGGCGGCGTTGATGAACGATCCGTGCTAAACGGCACACGAGACAGGTGCCAGATAGAAGCGGAGCGGTAGTTTGCAGATCTGAGACAGGAGAAGGAATGAGGAGACAATTGAGGGCTATTGGATTGGACCTTTGGAAGAAGGCAGCGATAGAACGTGCCTTGTTGTAGCGCCGTTGCAATGCAATGCCGCACTGCTCCTCCTATGTTGATTCTGATTTGTCCACCCAAGTCTTGGGAGGGGAATGAGAAAGGTGTGCGGGAAGAGGCTTTGAGGTGCCGGGGAGAAGGGAGGTGGGGGGGGGGTGTGAGCGGAGGGTGATGCGAGCAGCAGGGTAGAGGAGGAGAAGGGCAAGACGGACTCAGAGAAGTCAAACGATGGTCGACGATCTGTTCACGAGACGGGATGCACTCGTCCAATCAGGTTGACTTCTAGGGTTATCGGAAACATACCCGTTCAAGTGATGCTAAATACGGGTAACTATATTGGCCAGGTAGCGTTTTGAGAGACTTCAGGACAGGTTTCTGGTTCAAGTCTCCCACCCACAGCAGCACCCCACGGGGTGGGGAAATGTTCTGATACAAATTCTGTGGTGTGGCGGGTGCGTGATAACAACTGATGGAGGGATGTGGATGATAGGCAACGTTTCCTGATTGGACGAGCTGATGGCTCGGGCAACCATAGAATATGCTCAAGGTGTGGTGCCGCAAACCGCGGTAGAACCGCAGGTGGACGGAAGGCGCAGAGCAACCTGCGCAAGTGTGGCGGGGCAAGGTCGCATAGAGGCCAGCTGTGCTTTGTTGCTGGGAACGCGATACACGAGTTGTCAATTGCAAATTCACTTCTACAGTGTAACAATCTTGTTTCCTCAAAACACTTCCAGAGGCTTTCCTGGAAGGCAAGATAGTCAACATCTCATACCGTAAATGAACAAGCAATGGATTAGAAGAGGCTGGAAACTCAAATTCTTGACCATCCTATCCACATAGCGTCACCTACACAAATCATCAAACATCACATGCATGGACCAGTCAAGCAACAAGCTTAGCATGACAAACTGTACAAAGCAGAGTTTGGCCAGCACACACGAACAGGACAGGATAGAAGACGCAACAAGCAACATGGTTGGCATCAACAGCACACAACCATGCAAGAGTCACACGGACACCATGGCAGGAAGCCAAACCCTCTAAAACTGGCACGAAGTTCCGAAGTGCAGGCGGTTGGAAACAGACTCTCCACTCCTCCTGAGAATGAGATCATCGAGCAGCACCAGCAGCACCTCCATGTACAGATTCCATGACCGTACACCCAACTCCCCCAGCTCCATCAACTGTGCGCTCAGCTCATCCCCCGTCGCACTCCCACGCGGATCCCGTGCCACTCCCCCCTGTGCCTGTCCCCGCTGCTGCTTTCCGCCCTTGGAATGTCCGCTGCTGCGCCTCTGCTTCGAGCTGTGCCTCTGCTGCCTCCCAGGGTTAACCCCACCACCTGCTGTACCTTCACCACTCACATCCTCGGCTCCCTCTCCCCTGACGCCAACACTGCTGCTGCCAAGGTTGGAACGACCAACTGCCCTTCTTAAATTTGACCCGCTGCCGCCGCTGCTGCCAGCAGCACCACCCAGGCCACTGCTCCTTGCCCCAGGTGCACCCAAACCCCCACTGAAACCAGTGTGGAGAGGAGAGGCACCAGGCGCACCAGGTGCTGCACCGTGTGAGGGCTGAGTGGGGTTGCGGGGAGGCAGTGCGGCCATGGGCTTGCGGAAGAGAGGGCGGGCGAGGTGGCGGGGAGGAGGAGCATAGGAGGAGCCGAGGCGGGTGGATTTGGCGATGAAGTGATGGGCCACGGCGGGCACAGGGACAGGCTGGGCTGATGCAGGCACGGGGGAGCACGACAGCTCAGGCAGGAATGCAGACGGCTCACTGCTCTCACTTGCACGCGCCACTGCTGCTGTGGCTTCTGTTTCTGCTAGAGGTGTGTGCCATGAGGAGTCCGATGCATGAGAGCAGTCACGAGCAGAGAGCAGAGAAGCAGCAGGAGGAGGGTCCAGGTTTGATACAGCAGCAGATGCAGGTGCAAGGACAGGAAGAGGCGGCGAGGCAAGGGAGGAGGGAGGGGACGAGCTCATAGAGCCCAGTCCCACTGGGGGAAAGTCATCCGCCTCGCTACCGTGCTCCTGCATGCCCATGCCCAGACCAGCGCCGTTGCTGCTGCTCGTGGTGCTGTCTCCGCAGTCGTTGCTCTCAGTGCTGCCGCTGCTGGGAGAGCGAGAGGTGGATGTAGACACGGGATACTGGCCACGTTGCTGCTGCTGCTGCTGCTGCTGCTGCTGCTGCTTGAGTTCTGGCTGTCCGTGGTGCTGATACCCGGCACTCACTACCTCAGCCTCCTCGTCAAATTCAAACTGCTCCTCTCCTGCTGTCACGGATTCACTCTGCTCGTAACCACTCACACTGTCGCCTATACCCGCAAAACTCCCTGCTTCCACGCCCACGTGGACACCCGCAAACCCTGCCTCAAGACCCTCCCTTGCACCCTCTGCTTCCTTGTTCTCTCCCTCCTCCTCCTCCTTTTCCTCCTCCTCATCCTCGTCCTCTGAGTCAGTATCACCCCACCTCGCACCTTTCTTCCACAACAGCGATTCTGGGATCACATAGCTGCCTACCTCCTCCGCCCTCTCCTCCTCGCCCTCGTTACCTGCACCGCTGTCCCGCTCTGCCTCCCTGCCTGTCTCACTGCCCGCGTCACTGCATCCCACCCCTTCCACATCCTCCCCCTCTCCCTCATCCGACCACTCCCCTTCCTCCCCTTCCTCTCCCTCCAACACTGCACCTATCTCTCCATCCTCCTCTCCAAACCCATCAACCCCAAATATACCCTCCTCTCCCTCACTCTCCGAAAACTCCTCATCCTCCCCCTCCCCCTCTTCTTCCTGAATACCTCCCTCCCCGTCCCCCATCGCCCCGCTCTCCCTACACCACCCTTCCCCTTCCGCCTCCCCCTCCCCCTCCGCTTCCCCCAGCGCCCTGCGCACGCGTTTCATCTCCCCCAGCGCCTCCGCGCACACGAGCTCCAGGTCGCTCGGCTGCTCCTCCAGTCCGCGCACCTCGCGGCTCATCATCGCGCCTATCCCCGCGAGCGTCATGCCCGCGGCGGCGGCGCGCTGCAGCAGCGTGGTGGCGATCACGAGCACGCGCAGGCAGCCCTCGCGCAGCAGCGGGAGGTGCGCGCGCAGGAGGGATACGTCCCGCTCCGCGTCCAGTGCCGCTATGTACTCCAGCTCGTCGGGGGAGAACGGCAGCGACGCCTGCAAACGAGAGGGCGGAAGCGGGGAAGGGAAGTGGGGAGGGCGGAAAAGGGGGGTGTGGGAAGGAGAAAGCGTGAGAAGAGAGGTGGGAGGAGTTGAGGGGAGGGGGAAGGGGAGGACGAATAGGGGGATGCAGACAGGGAGAAGAGAGAGGGGAGAGGGGGGTTGGAAGGGAGAAAGAGGCGTTGCTATGGAGGCATGCAGTGCAGGCGCGAGAATGGGGGGATGCAGACGGGGATAAGGGGGTTCGGGCATGCAGCAGCAGAAACACAGCTACGGGGGCGTGAAGAGAGTGATGCAGCGGAAACTCAAGAGATGCGACCCGCATCGCCCCTCAAATACATCACCTCCCAATGCCCCACACAGAAAAACCCCCGACCCCTGCCCTCCCAAACCCATCCCACGCAACCATCCCCCCCTCTCCCCTCCCGCTTGCACGCACCTGGGGCCAGTGCAGCCATTCGAAGTAGGCGGGTTCGAGGGACTCGGGGAGGCAGAAGCCGTGGTCGATGGGCACCAGGTGCACCGCCTCGTCCACTCGCAGCTGCGGGTCGCTCTGCCGCCACTCCCGCTCCTCCACGCTCAACTGCCGCACCAGGATGTTGCCTGGGGCGGGGAACGGGCGGGACGGCGGGCGAGGAACGGGGAACGGGGCGGGGAATGGGGACGGGGGAAGCGGGAGAGTGGGAGGGGAGGGGGGAGCCAGGGGGGGGAGAGGAGGGTGTGGGGGGTGTGAGAAGAGTTGGGGAAAAAGGTTGTGGGGGGAGGGCGGGAGAGCGAAAGGAGAGGGGCATGGGAACTTGTGAGGAGGAATATGCAGCACCAGGAAGAGAGGCGGATGAAGACGAGTGCTTTATGCAAAAGCGAAGGCAGTTTCAAGAGGTTGAGAAAACAGGCAGTGTCTATGCATGGGGAGGGTGAGGCACGAGGCAAGCACGCACCAGAGTGTCGATCCGTGTTGAACAAGCGGATATCGAGGATGCCTATACGGTGAACAGCAGCCACCGGGAACCGGGACGTTCCATGCTCGCTAGCATCGAAATCGTGCGGCTCAAACCGCTGCAACGAGCACAATCGACGGCCCCCGTTTCCGCTGCTTCCGCCATCCCCCCATTCCCCTCCCCCTCCTGCGCCCCGCGCACCCGCCACAGCGGCAGCTGCAGCAGACGCCGAGGGGCCACTCGCGCCAACGCCGAACGAGAACGCGCTTGATAGCCCGCCCGCAGTCCCCGACGTGCGCGGCGTCATCGTGGGCCCCGCGGGCGCCGCATTCACGTGGAACGCGGGGTGCGTGGCGAGCACGAGCGCCGTCGCGGGCACCCCCGCGAACCCCTCGTGGTCCAGCAGGAACGCCGCCACTTCGCGCAGCCCCGCCTCCCCCACGCGGATGCTGCGCTTTAGCCCCGGCTGCCCCAGCGCGCGCCCCACGTAGCCGTTGGGGTTGTTGGGCGCGAGCGGCTCCTCGTCCGTAGGCTTCACGATCGCCACGTTGCGCTGCGCCGCGTCGCGGAAGATGTACGCGCCGCCCAGCCCCCCAGACGCGCGCACGGGCTGCGCGCCCGCGCGCAACCCGTCCTGCACTGCGCCCACGAGGTGCAGCACGGGGGGCGGCACCGCGGCGGTAGTCGCAACGCAGGCGGCAGACGCGGGCGAGGCGACTCCGTCAGTATGTGGAGCGGGAGACACGAGGCTGCGCGGCCACGCGAGGCCGAGAGACACGTTCTCCGCAAGCCAGACGTCTTCTAACGCGGATAGAGTGGAGACGAACTGCTGCTCTGCAACCGAGTCCAGAGGCACAGCTTGAGGCACGGTGCATGGCTCCTCAGGCACGATGCTCGTTGCTGCTTCAGGCGCGCATTCTGCCTCAACCGCTGCTTGCGCAGGTGGGGCAAACTCTGCGTCTAACTCATCTACCACCGTCTCTTTCGCTGTTTCTGCTACAGCTACTGACACTGTGATTACTTCTTCCTTCTCCTCCAGCAGCAAATACGTTGCCTCTCCCGCTACACCCGAGTCTGAAGCATCGCTCGCTGCCGCCTCCGCCTCCGCCACCCTGCCCAGTTTGCTGCGGCCCCATACAAGGCCGTCGGCCTCGCCCTGCCACTGCTGCTCAGCACCCCGCACCTCCTTGCTTAGATGCACGCTCGCACGCGGAAGGAACGGCGGGGCACACGGCAGGGCAGACTGCGACGGAACCGCCTGTGTTGCCGCCACGGGATCGACACGCGCTGCGTTATTTCCCGGCACGGCCGCGGCTGCCGCAGGTGGGTTTGGGAACCCAGAGCTGAACCTGGACGGCAGGCTGGATGCCAGAACCCCAACGCTCGCGGCGGAAGGAAACCCACCCAAGGCAGACGAGGAAGGAACGTGAGACGCAGCCGCAGGGGATGCGGTAGCTGCGGCAGACGCAAGCGACGGCGCTGACGCGGCCCTTCCGGCGGCGACGACGGCGGCTGCGGCGGACTTAAGCGAGTGTGAGGAGGTATAAATGGAGGGGAGCGGCGGGAGAGTGGTGGGGGAGGACGTGTGGAGGAAGGGGAAGCAGGGGCTACTGCCCGTGCGGGAGAAGTAGCTCCCCATGCTGCTGCCCAGACTGCCCGCCACTACGCCGCCCGCAGCCGCCGCTGCGTCCGCCTTGCTGCTGCGCGACACGGTGCCGCCGCGCGTGTTGAGGCGGCAGAAGTTCCACCCGAGCCCGAACGAGATCTTAGGCGCTGACGTCGGGAAACAGACCTTCAGCTCCTTCCCCCGCACCTCATCCTCCTCCGCCTCCTCATACCCGTCATCCTCCGCCCCCGCCGCCTGCGTTCCATCCTCCGCCGCGTCTGCCCCTGCTTCCCCTTCCGCTTTCTCCAAATCATCCTCCTCCTCATTTAGTTGCGCGAACACGTGCGACCCCACTCCCATCGAGTCGAATTCCGGGCGACCACCTAACGACTCCGATACCAGTGCGGCTAGACCGGCGGCAACAGCCCCGCCACTCTCACGACTTGAGGATCTGTCCAACCGAAAGCTACCGCTGGACCTACCGGAAAACCCCACCACTCTCGCCATCCCCGCCTCGTCTTCCTCCGCTGCCGCTGCGCCAGGGCCAGCAGCTGCTGACGCTGCTGCCGCCGCCGCAGCGGCCGTGGCGGCAGCTGCAGCCGCAGCGGCAGCGGAAGGGAGGAACCACGTGTCTCGAGCCGAGGCTGCCACGGCGGCAGTGACAGCGGCGGGTGTGACAACACGAGAGCTGGACGGCGCCGCGGCAGCAGATGTGATTGGCCAATCACCACGGCCCGCAGCAGCGGAACTGGCACCAGCGACAACACGAGAGTCAGGCACGGCGAACCCTCGGGTGGTGGTGAACGATCGCCTTGCTTGTGCCGCTGGCGTGGGGGGCGGCGGCGGAGGCGGGTGGTTCATATCCAATGCCGTTCCTGTTTCTGCCGCTGCTGCCGGCACGACGAAACCGCTAATAGTCGTTGCCGTGATCCCTCCCGTGTCCCTCCCCGTTCCCATGGCTACGTCCCTCCTCCCCGCACTTGCCGCTGCCGCGGATGCTCTTCCCATTGCGTCAGACAAAGACGAGCGGCGGGAGGGCAGCGAGGGCGCAGGGAAGGAAGCCGCGGGGGGCGCAGTGGTCGCGGGCGTGGGCGGCGGGGGAGGCGGCGGCAGATCTTCGTCCGACGACAGTGGCGGAATCTTGGGCGATGCGCGTTGGCGCACGTCCATGGCGGGAACAATCACTCCCCCGCCGAAGCCCCCGAAGCCCACTGACCGCGGCATCCCGCCTCGACCGCTCTCGCTTGGGTCCCCCGTCCCTGCCGTAGCTCCTGCCGTCTCTTCCCTCTCTCCTGTCGCCACCGTCAGTGCGGTGTCGCTCACGAGCACGTGCGTGCGCCGCTTGTTTGACGCGGCAAGATACTCGAGGCGAACACGATATTAAACTCGATGATGCTCTGGGAAGTGGACGGCACAAGAGGTGGTCAACGGCGATAGGCTGCCAGATAGCTTGGCTAGAGTCGCGTCAATGAAGATTCGTTTTGTGAGAGCAGATTGGGAACGCCGGTGTAGACGAGCCAGTGACAAGGATTTGGTCACGATCTTAAAATCCGCCCTTTGGGAACACGAAGCGTTCTTGCGATAACTTTTGTGCGTCCCCGCTCGTGTTGCTGCTGGTGTCAGCGATGCTACAAATAACAGGATACCTGAAACTCCTGATGAGCCGTGAGAAGCGTCGGCCTCTGGCTTTGCGCGACTGATTTTCTCGTGTCTGTTGCTGAATCTTGCAATGAGCACCCGGCGATGACGATCGCAGGCCGATAGCCTAAGGCGTGGAATGGGGTAGTGAAGAGAGAGGAAACGTGTGAATTAAACCCCAGAAGAAGAAAAAAAATACATTACCTGAAAAGTGGATCATACCACGCGAGCGACTTATTAAATTCATCGCACATATGACCATGCGCGAGTCATGATCGTGACAGGGGCATGGAAACCCTAATACGAGGTGCAAAAGCGGCCAATACTTCCGCGATCTGACGGCCATGCCCATAAGCCGAGACCGTGTTCGTACCAGCATTCGTCGCGTGCACGCCACCGGATGCCTCGGCGATTGTTCCTCACAGCGTGGCGACTGCCTCCATTGCAGCCAAGCCAGCCATTGTCGCGGCCAGCGCGCACATTCCGTCTACGGCAACAGGCCGTAAGACAGCAATTCTCTGCTGAATGCATCCCCTCGCCTAACGCCTACAGCCCGCGAAGCCTTGCGTTATGAACGCCATGATTGCGATAAATTTGTAGAGTAACAGAGGGCCGTAAGATAAGCAGTGTTGGTTGTAGGAGGGATGCACGGAACGGAAGGTAAGAGTGGGGGAGGGTAGACTATGGACAGATCTGGTGGAAGGACAGAAGTGGACTAGAGGGGAAGAACTTTGGGCAAGGGTTTGCGCGAGGCAACAGTGGGCCGTCGGGTCTTGCTTACTCTGGGATCGTCGTAACCTGATAACGTGAGCTTACGCTTTCGCCAGTACTGCACGACATGTATGTGCCCTCACGCTTCGTCCACCTCGCAGTAGTTTTTCGCGAATGGATGGTGGGAATGCGGATTCTGTGGTGCGTTGTGTGTGGGGGATGGAGACGGTGAGCCCCATGCTGTCACAGCGACGGCGGCAATTACGGTGGAATGACGCGGATCTGAGGGAGCGGCAGTGCGAATGGTGAGTGTCAGGTACTCTGCAGCCATGCAAATCTAGCCCCATCGGCGCGCTCGCTCATACAGCTGGCTGCGTGGCAAAACACACGTCATTCTTCCACTGGCATTCATCTTTGGGTGCAGCTACCGCTGACCGCATACAACCGATATGAGCTTCTGGCATCGTGTAGAGATATTGTTACAATTATCACTTTATATTTCTCGGCAATGCCAGATTTTTTCTTATGCATTACTCAAAATATCTCTGATAAACGTCATTTACCCTTAATGAATTTATTAACCCATTGTATTCAAGAAATATGCTATTGAAATGAGACAACATATGGCTTGAATTGTAAGATTGAAATAGGAGAAATACTGTGCAAATAATTGGTTTTTGCAGAAATAGCATGCTTTCAGCGTCTTGAGAAAAGAATGGCTCGTCTGTGAGATGTGGAAAATTTAACCTTATGCTAGGTCTGTTGTATCGGGCTTGTTCCCCAACTGGAGCGTCGTTTAGTCGCTCCGGAATTTGAAAACGTGGCGCGTCCTACTAGCACCCTTGGCCTTTTCTTCCCACTTTGTACACAGTCGACAACACTGATGACCTGCGTTCGTGAGTAATGGTTTCAGCGTTCCCTTGACGCGCGCATGCTTGCCACACACAACCAGAAACCCTAGCGTACCTTCACCTGGGTAAACCAGGCGTTAACTTCCCGTCCTGTTAAGCCTAGCGTTTGTCAAACCATGGCTTTCGTTAGCCGGTTCCCCCTCCTCGACAACGTTTCGGCTCACGGTAAGTTCGCCTTTTTTCGGATCCCGTCGCTCTATTTCTCGCTTTATTTCTCGCTGCTGTTTCTTTTTGGTTGCCCAAACATTTCGTGGCCTTGCAGGTGTGTGTGCGGACGATGCTTCTCTCCTCTAGGTTTCGCGACTTCGCAACTACGCATCTACGCTACCTTTCTGTCGGAACCTAGAAGTTCCTCACATGGCTGCTGCTCTTTCCACCCTCACCTATTTCGTCATGTGTCTGCCTTTGTGCTTCGGCAGATCTGCAGTCACCTCGATCCCTCCTGCTGGCCGTTCCTTTCATTTCCGCACTATCGCTACCTCTATCTCTCACTTCAGCGTTTTCGATTTTTCTGTTACCGTCTTTCTCGTCCCGCTCTTTGCCTTGCGCACTCGTGTAGTTACGCGTCGTCCTACTGCTTAGGCCGGTATCCCCATGGACGTCTGCTCCGTCCCACGCGCGGCTGGTTCCTCCGCTTTGCATCCCAGTCGTCACTCCGCGCCGCCCTAATTCTCACTCGTCTGTTCCAACCGCCTTTTCCCCTTCCCATGCCGACCGATACCCCCCCTCCCTGGCATACAACAGCGTTGCACGTGTCTCTGTTTGTTCGGCTCCGCTCTTTTTCTACCTACCCCCTCTGGCCATCCGGGCCCCCGTCACCTCGACGTGCCATTGCTCTTGCATGGCGTTTTGACTCGGGAAGCCCCCTAAGCTCCCAGTCAATTTTTCTGGAATGCTTTGGCCGCCTAGGCCTGTGCTTCCGCACTCTCACTCTTACTACACCACCCGTTCACCCTTGCTTTCTGGTCTTTTTTTCCTTGTCGCGCCTAGCTACAGCTCGCTTCCTCTCTCGATTATCTCCCCATGCTCACCGCTGTGCGATCCCTTCCGCTCCTTGCATTTCGATCCTTCCACTCGTCCTCACTCATTTGCCATCCTCCTTGCCCCCCCTGTCTGGTTTGTGCTTTTGCCCTTCTCTTTCATGCCCGCCTATCATCCCTCACCCCCTCCCGCCTGATGAGCTAGCGGCAGTGAAGAAACCCCACCGCGCTCGCCTCGGTGCTCATGCTCGGATCCAACGGTCTGTTTTTTCTCGCTGTCCTGCGGCCAGCCTGCCTTGCCGCGTTTCAGCCGGTGTTCGAGTGGCCTTGCGCCTCCATCATCACCACCCTCTACCACCTCCCCTCCCCTTCGGTTCACCCCGTCACCTTTCTGCCACCCCTACCCTGCCGCATGTGTTATTGCTCTCATTTAACCTCCGCCTCCGCTTCCCCCCTCCCTTTCGTGTTTCTCTGTGCCTTCCCCAACCTCTTCCCCCCATCTCCTCACTGCTCTTCTGCACTCTGTCTCATATCTCCCCCCCTTTTGTTTGGCCTTCCCCGCTCCCAGCTCTATTCCCTGGCTGGTCTCCCCTTGACTCCACTCCGCACAAGGCCTCGCTGCTCTGCCATCCCCATGCTTCCCCTTCTCGATCACTCACCCACCTACACCTCTGGCTCCCCCCCATGCCCTCTAGCAGCCCTGCCTGCTGCCCGTTCCATCAGCAGCCTCAAAAGCCTCCGGCCCGCGGTAGTGTTGGAACACTCCTGCCGCCCCATCTGCTACCTCCCTTGCTGCCCTTCTCGTTCTGCCTGCCTCGTTGCTCGCCTCGCTGCCCGCCTAGAAACTACCGGAAACTCCCTGTTTACCAATGCAAGTGGCAGTTCAGAGAGGGCCCTCGTCCTCCGCCTGCAACCCCAACGACTAGCATTCCTTGCTCTCGGCCTAGCTGGTTGTCTAGCCTATTGATTTATGCTTGCATATTTTTTTGCTCAACGTTTATAAAAGTAACTCATGATATGCCTGTTTATCACTCTCTTGATGCCTTTTGTCATCAATTATTCCTCCAATGCCCGTGGATCCGCGCACCCTCCTGCGCGGTGGGCGTACATTCAGCAGAATGTTGACGCCCTTACGAGTTCGCTGCCTGAATATCAATGGTATCAATACACCAGTTAAACGCAATGCTCTAAAACGCTGGCTTTCCACCTCTCGTCCTCACGCGGACATTCTCATTTTAGTGGATACACGTCTCTCAAAAAACCTACCTCGACTTTCTCTCCAACTCCGGCCACACTCTTCAGTTCACGCTCCAACCCTTTACGCTCTGAATTCAATTGGCCAACAAGTTCCGCAACCTGGTGGCATCTCCATCCTGTCCTTCAATCGAGCAGTTTCTTTCACCTCCCCATTCCCCTCCGCCGATGGCCGCCTCCTATCTGTACACATCAACTTCCTGCATGAGCAATTGCGCCTCATCGCCATCTACGCGCCGAGACCTGCCACTGACCCTCGGATCTGGTGGAGATCAATCCTAACTCCTGCATTGGAACAACCATGAGGAAGGTGACGTACACGATGAGGTGCTTCCCGCGCACCCTATTGGTACTCTCATCCATAGCGATGCCGATGTAGGGACTCTGGGTGATGTGCTCCAGTTGCTCGTCACGTAGATACTTGGATGCAGCTTCGATAAACTCGCCGAAGCCATACCTGCATGTACACGCCGCTTACGTCAGAAGCCATACGAGTGTAAACAAACAAAACATTAAAACATAAGTGCAATTTGGGATTCTCACTCTGAGTAGTAGCTTCCACGCTGATCGATCGGGAGGTTCGAGCAACCCATCTCCTGAATGGACTTGATGAAACCGATGTAGGAAGAGGTTGGTGCGTCAGATTGGCACGTGAAAACCGCCGTTTTTAACGTGGCAATAAGGTGAAGCTTGCTCTTGTCGAGTCCATCATACTCGTCCAACATCGCAT